ACCCAGCAGCGGCTTGCCATGATCGTGCGGGCAACGCAGAAGCGGGCCCAGACACGAGCCGTCAGTAGCCAACACAGGCCAGCATTGGCCGTGCTGCAGAGCTGCCGGAAGATTGCTTGCTAATCTAGTGGGCTTGGCTGAGTCGGCCCCGAAGAAGCACTGGTGCAGAGGCCAAGTGACTGCCCCACACGTTTCAACTAAAGACCGCATGGAAGGGAAGTCCCACACTGACCCAGGAATGTCCCCAGATGGCAGAAGCCCAAGCTGCTCTGGGTGCTCGAAAATGAAATATTTGCCAATTGATGCCTGCAGACCGGCCAGCTCAATGCACTTGTCCGTGAAAAAATTGGCCAACGCGACGGCGTGTAGATCAGAATTCCGCAGCCATGGGAAGCCGCGAAGATGCGCCCTTGTTCTGAGCGGGCGTGGACCGTTGTTGCCTGCAAAGTGAAATCGTGCTCTGCTGAATGCGCCGCAAGGAGGAGAAAACAGAATAGCGTCAAAACTGGCAGCACTAGCCTGAGCGAAAATGGAATCCCAAACCTCTTGCTTGCTGAGATCGAACTCTGCCCCACGCAGAATATCGCACTCAACCATCTCCAGCTGTATTGAATTAGCCTTGCACAGATTCTGCAGGTGCTCACGGACATCGCTTGGACGAGCCCGACCTGCAAATAAATACAGCACGCGAAACGTGCGCTTGCCCTGTCAGTTGGCCGAGGCCGGGGCATCCCTTCCATCCGCACTGATGGACAGCTTCTGGAAGTGCTGCCACATTGCATGCGCCGCGTTGCATCCTTTCACACGGCACACGTGTACACGGCCGCAGGAGCCATCACAGCCCTGAGCATTGAACGCGAAACAAATCTCGCGCCCGTCTGGGGTGCGGTCCGTAAGGCTGTGACCACTCTTGGAGGCCGTCGCCTTGCCTTTGTTACCCCTGCCTTTCTGCTGCTTGCCTTTGCCATCTTTGCGGAGCCACTTCCAAGATGGGTCAGGAACTGGAACATCCTGCCAACCTTTGCCTTTGCCCTTGAACCAGGGCGAGCCTTTTGTGTCCCAGGCACGCTTGTTACCCATCTCCAGGGCCCTTGGCTGCAGCGCAATGGGGCTGGTGAAGAATCGTTCCTTGAGCTCAGAATCCTTGCAGACTTCCGCCAATGTATCCTTCAGAGGCTTGTTCTCAGTGTGGGCCCGCTTTACTGCCTCACGTCGCAGCTCGTGCTCGTAGTTGATGAGGATGTGCCAAGGGGGACGTAATGGCGTGGCCTCATTGCCTTTGCCACCATGGATCTTCATCAAGTAGCATTTCTCGCCCAACAAGAAATTAACGCCAAGAAACACCACATATTGGCCTCGATGCGGAGCGTGGTTCTGAGTTCTTCTGTCCCCTGCGGAAGGGAACCCTTCTGCTTGTTCCTGACGATTCGGATCTGGCCCCCAGCGTCAATGGAAGTTTGAATGCCAAGGGTCCTGGCACTACGTTTTGAGGTAACTTCGTTGAGTGGTGACGCAGTGGGCTCGTGGGACTCAAGCTCTTCTGCCTTTGCCGAAAGATAATCATCTGATGGTTCCAGGGAGTCCTCAATGTTTCCGTGCGCGGCAATATAAGAGGCTCGCACGGCTGCCCTGTCAGTTTGGGTGACAGGCCTCGGAACCCCGAGAACACGGGCCTCTGCCTTTAGCTCCTGTTCTTTGACAGCGAACTGCTGACATGCCTCCCATGCACTGCAGGCCTTGCTCACATGCAGCCTACGGAAACCACTCCGGCTCACTGTGACAAAGTACGGTGCCTCGTCGGCGACCTCGCCATCAGGCACCTCAAGCGTAGGCGAAGTGTCCAACGCCTGCTTTAAGGCGGCGGGGTCGACCGAAATTGCCGGGAACTTTGAACGCAAGAACCAACTGGAAGACTGGGTGCTCCACGATAGCACCTGATGCCCCACGGCCGCCTGTGAACCATCGCCCCCTTTGGATGCCACGCGCTGCTGCATCTGCTGGAAAAGCTCCTCCTCCACTAGGCCAGGTGCGGGCTCGCCCTCAAGCAGGGCCCGGCAAATTTGGGCCTGGATCTGATGAACCACCTGCCTGCTGGTCAAGATGTATGTGGAGGATGCAGACCTGGCAACCGCCCAGCGTCCTAGAAAGTTGATGCGCTCTTCCGGCACGCCCACTGCTGCCGCGAGCGAAGGAAGTACATGTCGCGGGGAATGTCCAGACCAAAAGGTCACTAGGTTCTCAGGTACCAAATGAACAGTCTTGGACAGCCCCCATTTCCCATCGACCCGCTTTGGCGCATGAAGAGACCGAAGGACTGCCCTGACCAGCGCTGCCACGCCTTCGGGTTCCAGGAAGTCTCTGCTCGCCACCTGCCAGGTATCATCCAAATGGACACAAAGAAAATCACGTGGAAATTTAAATTCATTGGATTGCAGAAGCGTCATGCCAGCC